CAGTTATTATCTTACTAAATCATCTTTCATCTAAAACTAAATATATTAAACTACTGTCTCCTATGTGGGTCTTCTGTCCACCACCCATTGCGCGCGTCTAGCGGCTATTAATGGTTAAATTGGTTGATGTACACGGTACATCAACCAAGAAGTGGACCTCTCCACGGATATTACCCTTAGAGGTAATATTCTGATAATATCGCTTTTCTCAAGAGATGTTGATTAAATATATATCAAAATAGATAATATTCAAAAATTGATACTTTCGTACCAATTTTTATGTAATGGGCTCACCACGTTTCAAATTTAGTTCTTCTTTTATCGAAAGAAAACCTAAGAAGAACGTGCCTAATCTAGACACTAATTTTTCGAATTAATACCTCCTAAAAGATCACGTAATTCGGTGGCTGACACACGTCAGCCCTCAACAACTAATACGGTGTTCTAATATCATTTTTAATGGGACTCCGTCCGTGGTGTAACCCACACACGTTGTGTAACCCCGTTACAAAGGATATCACGATGTGTTGTGATGTTCTACGAGGAACGTTCATTATAATATTTCCTATCATCAAACCTTATAATGATAATAAAATGTAACAGGTTTACTCCGTTACAGCCGATTCATGTTTCACACAGCCTGAACGGTTTCCGTGGTTGCGTCTTGCTCTGACGACTAGAAGAGGAGAATGAGAACAGGATGATCCGATGCTGGAATATGTATGGTGCAATGCACGAGGTACCACAATGTGAGACTCTGTTGAAGGCGGGCTTTTTCCAGACAAGAAGCGATCTCAATCACAATACAGTCGTGGAGCCCCTTGTGAAAACTTCTGATCAGGATATATGTCTCAATCGTAGTGCTGTCGTAGTGCTTCCTGTGGCACATTTCGATGTAGTCTTACCTTTGGAGCCACGAACTACCAGGCAGCTTCAAGCAAGTCTTGTAGACAGAAACGGGCAGACCAAACCACGACTGAAGTATGAAGAGATGGTGGAGGCTTTACAAAGTCAATGGCATGAATGTGGGAAAGGCGAGACGTCAGCATGTGAATCTGACATTGGCAGCAAGTGAGGCAACAAGTGAGTTACATGTACATTTTTGGCTTTTTTGCGCCCAATGTTAACACACTCAATAGCGATCGGCTCCTACCGTGCCGCAATCAAAGCGTCGTGTTTTGCAGCTATACTTTCTCGCAAATAGACATACACGTGTAAGTCATACAATAAGACGTTGGAGCAGCGGCGAGTCGCGTCGCCATATCGAGGCCTCAGTCAGTGTCTGACACTATGGCGAGTCGCCGAGGGGGACGCTCGCGTTTGCCGGCGTTTATGCGTCGACGTGGCCCGTCGCCGTTCCGCAGCGGACGACGTAGCAGTCCCGTGTCGACGACACGAGGCAGCGGGCAACGTCGACGCTTGCCGAGTCCATTCCGACGTTAGCGGAGTTTGAGTCGCAGTCGCGGTCGAAGCGTAAGCCGGGGTCGGAGTCGACTGCGTGAACGCAGTTGCAGTAGGACGCCGAATCGCAGTCGCAGCAGCCGGAGCAGTCGCAATTAATGAGGCAGTCGCGTGTAGCAGCAGGTAAATGCACGAGATGCAGTCGTTGCAGTGGATGTGGCGGATCGCAAGACCGCCCGCAACCCGCGCGTGCTGGTGCTTGATCTTGGACAGTGTATATGTGCGTGTGTGTGTAGCCAGAAGATGACAAGTGTGGTGCTGCGTTCATTGAGCTGCGTTTAAGACGAATGACACGGTTTTTCATAACGATGGGCTTCAAGCAACTTGCACTTGGATTGCCAGCAACTACTGTGAGGAGTTAGAGTAGGCTGCATCGTGCTCATACAAATTGCGTTGAGAATCATCCTAACCCGAATCAGAACTTGTATGGGTGTGCTGCGCTTGAGTTACTTGAAGTGTGGCTGCATCATGATTATTGACATGAGAAGCACTTCTCAGGAGTAGCGTGATCGGCACAGGATGCAGCTGAAGTGGGCTTAGATACTGTGTTACTTGGCTATAAGGTCCATCTGTCAAATTTATAGCCAGCATATTCTGACTCGCGTAATTTGGCTGGTAGCATCGGCGTCTTAACACTGTTTCTCTTATCGAGTCAACTACAAATACGTGACGCTTTTGCATGGGCGGCAAACGTGACGTAAAAGCTGAACGAGTACTGTGCTGCTTTAGAGTATTGTCCGCGAAGACATCCGATACATTGCTACTGCCAGGCTGCCAATTTGTTTGCTGGTAACGTTGCAGTTGGTCCTTACGAACAGATTCAATCGAGGCACGGTGGGAGCTGGTAGCTTTTACGTCTGTAAATATTGGGCACAAGAAGGCCAAACATGTACTTTTAACTCACTTGCTGCCTCACTTGCTGCCAATGTCTGTTTCACTTGCTGCCGTCTCGCCTCTCCCCATAAATGTTCACGTTGTCTGCTGCATCCAGATGGGTTTTATCTGATTGACGTCTGCGTGACTTTTCCATTATTCGACCGGAAGCGGGAGTCAAGACGGGGCCCATTACAAGATAGTGTCGACTACTCTAGAGGCAACGCATCTGCTGGTCGGCTTTGTAGATTGTTGTTGGGAGTTAGTCGGAAAGTGAGTTGGACAACGTATGCACTGGTAGTTTTGTTCACGTCGCAATCATGTAGTGGTCAACTACAGTAATCGTACTGCCGGAAGACGTGCTTTGTTTTTTTTACTTGGATTGCTTGCATTGCGCGATGGTTCAGCAAGTGTACGATGATGTAACAACAGGAAAGATGATGCAATCCTCAACGCAAAAGATGATGTAATCCTCATGGCATCATGGCCGAGGCCACAGTGTGGCTCTCTCAGCGTAGGACGAAGCAATTTGATCTAATCATTACTTCAAAAGTAACACTGTCGTCTGCACGCGGTAGCAGACACGCGTGAAGAGTAAATGCCTCACATTTTTTACTGGGCGCTCCTTCCTTGAAGTAGAGTCGATGCATTTGTACTGACGACAACGTTTTGTCGAACCTCACGGCAGTCATTCTGCTACATCAATAGCCTCCAGCCCCATCGTTTACATACGAGATAGGCTTACTACGAAATACTACTTTGGTACCCACCTCGCTAAAGTTGCAAGCAAAGGAGGCGAAGCGGGCAGAAGACGCATGTTACCCGCTAGCTCTATACCGGAAGCATCAAGCTTGACACTGCGGCCAACGCTCTGCACGTGTACGGAAGGTTTCGTCACCCGTGTTCTGGTCGTAGTGCGGAACGCACTTTACACTCGTGGCGAATGTGATTCTTCCCAATTGGAAGATGCGTCATGGCGCTAGTGTCGCACGCTCGCTAATCCTCGCAGAAAAAAGCAGTAAGGAGTACGCTGGCGCGACGCGGTCCGGTCGGCTTTCTACCATCTCAAAAATCTAGACTGCCCTTCACCAGGCCCGCAACGCCCAAACGATCAGAGCCCGATTCGGCCAGATACAGGAGATGCGTTGGCTTTCGAAAGACCAGCACATCCACGAGAAGCGCGGGCGAGAAAACACAATCAACAAAGATGGCATTGAAAAATTAGTGCCCGTCACGACTGGAAACGGCCGATTGACCGTGCGATGGACAAAGTTTACTGCCGCACAAAGCGCTTCGACTTCATCCGGCGCTCGACGTGACAAGTGATTCCCATCGTACTGATCGTGCCATTCGATGAGTAGGCGATCGAATGTTCTCGTCAAACAGAATGGAGCATCACTGCGTACCAGAACAACGCACGAGCGCTCCAATTGTCAAGTCAATAGCAACCTGCGAAGCAACATGCGAAGTTCATGCAGTGCTGCTTTGCATCCGTCGCCAAAAGCAAAGACTGATGCACACAGGAGTCCAGAGGTGACGCGTACGAGGGTGACGAAGCTCAGGAAAGCAGCTAAACAATGCGTGGTCGGATCGAACAAGCCAAGTTGCGCGACAAGAATCAGGCTCCACATGTGGCGCGTGAGTTCAGTCGCGGTGATGCGCACGCTGACAAGTGCTAGAAAATCGGGGGGGGGGGTCCACCGCATTGTCGCGATGCTCTAACCGGTCGCGCTGATACATGCACGTCCACCTCTCGTGACCACAAAGTGCAGCCAAAGATTTGGCCGCCACAGCTGCGATCTCGCCGCGCTGCATGTTCCATAACACTGGCAAAAAGACACGCACGGACGCCATTTTCGTCCAGCTTTCATGTCCGGAGTGACGTTGTCGCTCCATTTCTTATCCGGCCGTGCGCACACACCGCCTCGCTGGGACAGTCTCACGGCCCGCCTCGTTTACCCCTCACAAAATCAACACCGCCCGAGATCAAAATATCCACTCGCGGGCTGCGCTTACTTCAATGTAACCGACTGACCAGATGGAAACTGGCCGCTCGTGCGCAATCGCCCGCCAATAGCGCAGGTACGACGACGACGACGACGGTCGGCATTGATCTCAGTCTTCCCACCTGCCCGAGTCGCAAACCACACAACCAGAGCGATAGGCCGCGGCGGCAGTGCTGGTACAGTAGGGTGGGCAAGCAAAGCGCGTGGCGATCTTACGGCCGCGCTGGCAGAAAGGGCGGGCGCCGACGGAGAATCGTTTGCGCGCCTTTTCTTGCCGGCAGACGAGGCGCGCGCGGCGGCTGGCTCTTCCACGGGTCAAATTTTGCGCACGGTCGCTTGCGTGTGCAAGCGTGAGGACACTTGGACAGGATGATGGCCAAGGCATACAAACGGCCCGTCACGCGCAACGGCGGCCGCGACGAGCGCCTGGCAGACGGGACGCCGCGAAGTCACGGGGATGCGTGCCCCCTGCTCCTCGTCCGCGTTGAACGGCACGTGCAGCAGCAGTCCATCGTGGGGCGACAGGGGACACGCGCCGCACGCGGTGCGTCTTCATTTCTCAATTGGCTGTCACCGACCGCCCGCTCGACCACTGCGCGCGTTGAGAGCTCTCCTTCTTCTTTGTGTCTCCTGCGTCGTCGATCGCAAGCGCTCGTCGCGATGAAACTCTCGGCCGCGCTGACGGCGCTCGGGGCCGCGCTGCTCTCCGCTGTGCCCTCTGTCGCGCAGACGCCCGCGAACACGAACACGACCACGACGGACGTGTACGACGTGCCCATCCTCAGTGCCGCGGGCAACGTCACGGGGCTGCCGGGCGGCAACGCGTTCTGCGGCGCCCCGCGCGTGCGCAAGCCCTGGGGCGCGCTCACGTCGGACGAGCAGGCGCTGTACGTGGAAGCCAGTCGCCTCGCCATTGCATCGGGCGCCGTCGCTGAGTTTGCCGCCATGGCAGCGGACTCGCTCAGCCAGGCCCAAGGCGAGTACTCGTGCGCGTTCTTTAGCTGGCACCGCCGCTTCCTCTTGGCGTACGAGTCGTACTTGCGCGCGCTGGACGACCGCTTTGCGTGCCTCACAGTGCCCTACTACGACGTGCAGACGGCCTATGTCCAGGCCGTGAACGGCGCCTGCAGCAACATGTTTGACTGCAGCGGCATCTTTGAAGCCATTGGCGGCGCGGGCAACTTGACCACGACGACGTCGGTCACGCGCCACGGCGTGAACGCCACGGGCTACGCGACCGTCGGCGCGCCCTATGATGGCGACGCCGCCTGTGACGACGACGCCGGCGCGCGGGACGAGTGCCGCACGTCGTTTGTCGTGCGCGCCAACGTCTCGAGCAAAGCCGTTCCGAGTGCCGCGAGCTTTGCGTCGTTTCAGAGTGTCGTTGCGACGTCGGGCGACTATGCGACGTTTCTCCAGGGCATTCAGTACGGCGTGCACCATGAAGTCGTGGATGCCATTGGCGGCGTGTTTGCCACGGCAGCAGCTGCGCAGGACGTGCTCTACTACTCGTGGTACGCGGCCCTCGACATGTACTTGCACGTGTACCACCTGTGCCGCATCGGAGTTCCGCTCACGTACGACCAGATCGTCGAGTCGCTGGAGGCGTACGCGAACGCGACGCAGTCGTGCGGCGGTGTCGATGGCGTCGACGCCCAGTCGGCGCTCCTCATGAGGATCACCGTCGATGGACAAGTCGTTGATGCGTCGCAGCACCCGACGCTCGGCCAGTACTTTGGCTACGTGGGCAGCGACAACTGGAACTACGCAGACATTCAGCAGCTCGGAGACTACTCGTACACGTATCAGCTGCCCGAGATGCTGCGACAGCAGGTCTTGAGCAACAACGACGTGTGCACGGGCTTCAACCGGGCGTTCGCTGCGACGTACACGAGCTTGAACGCCACTGCAGTCAAGCGAACGTCGACGAGTCGGACGACGACCAGGACAACGACGACCAGGACGACGCGGATCGTGGACGGCAAGAGGGTGACGACCACTAAGGTGACGAAAACCGTGGTCAGGGCGAATAGCACAACGGGATCGTCGCCTGCCAGGTCGACGGTCACGAATGGACAGCTCGTGAGTCGGTTTGGGTACACGTACTTGGGCAACTTCAGCACGGACGATGAAGCCTTTGGTGAAGGAACCTTTGTGACGAACGGCTACACGGGCTACACAGCGTACTACAGCGCCGGAGCGATCACGACCAAGCACAATGGCATTGTGAGTGCCAACTACTCGTCGAGTTCGAGCTCGTCGTCTCCTTCGGGCCTGAACTCGTCCAGCCCGTCGGCTCGTGCAGACACGACGACGTACTCGAACACATCGAACGTAGTGGTGAACGTGAGGGTGGGCACGAGCCGTGTCGCTCGCAACATTACGGCGTCTGTGGCTACATCGGGTAGCTACTGGGCGTGGCTCCAAACCGCGTACGACGGCTTGTACTCTCGCTTTGACGGTAACATGGACCTGGTGACGACGCACATGAAGCTGCTCGAGTGCGACACATTCAACAGCGTCTACGGTCTGTCCAACTTCTCGTCTACTTTCGTTGCGAACAAGAACCTGGTCACGAACCGGGTGCAGTGTGGCCAGCGTCTGGACCTGGTTCGCTCCGGTCTGCTGCAAATGGCAGTGCGCTCATCGGCTTACACAGCCGAGAGTCTGAGGTTTGCCAGCTCGACGGTGATTAGCACTATTCGCTCGTCGTACAGGCGTGTGACTACTCGTCAAGTGACATACATTCGCAGCTCGTACATACAGGGGGTGCGGGCGAGCCTTGAATCCGCCCAGGAATCCCTGAACAACATTACCGTCATCTCGACTGGTGGAGTTGGCAATAACGAGACATCTACAACGCTTGTCGACACCGGCTTCGTTATGTCTAACTCGACGAGCTCGACAGCGCAATTGTCCGGTAATGCGACTGCTACTACGACCACTACGACTACTTCAACGGCGCTCGATGCGTCGGATACGTTGGCTGAAGCGTCGTCGGAAGTGGACGGATCTGATGTGTCCGAATCGAGCCTCACTCCTGAGGAACTCGACATCACAGCGCAAACGGGCGGCTTGACGTTGAGAGAAGGCACGGGGTTGAACGGCACGATGACTACTACCACGACAGGAGCCGACGACCGATTGGACACGACAACGACTGCCGGATCGGGTGTTACTACTCCAGTTGTCATTACTGCTGGTCCAGGAGGCCCTGAGCAGACCACGATGACTCCTAACCACTACGATGACTCCCGGCTCCGAATTGGATGAGTCGAAGAACAAGATGGACCAAGCACCTTTCAACACAACTACTGGTGAATCGACAGCGGCTACCACGACGGGTGGATCGACGGCGTCAACGTCTGCACAAGGTACTACGTCTGGTGGGTGGACAGGAGCTACTACGGTTGGTGGGTCGACAGTAATGCCATCTGGACAAGTTCCGACGACTGGTGAATGGGTGAATGCTACCGCCGCTGGCGGCTCTTTGATGAACACAAGCGGCAACACGACGAAGATGACGGGGTGGACAACAGCCGCATCGGACTCGGACGGTAAGATGATCACAACGACGACGGACTCAAACGGCGTGACGATCACGAAGATCACTGATTCTGACGGCGAGACCACTACGATCACTTCCACAACCTCTGGTGACTTGCTTATAGATGAACTTGACGGTGTCGAGACATCTGGAGAGACAAAGTCGACGATGGTTGTAGAGACGGGCTTGACGAGCAACTCATCGACCACCAGTACGGCCACGAATGAGTTGAACGCGGGAACTAACACCACTGGGACATACACACCTGCTGATAACAAGCCGGAATGGACCACCACACCAGACGGCTCTCCTGCGACTCCTGTATCGACATCCACTTCTACGTGCGTTGAAGTGTTTGTGGAGGGTGACGCGACGTACTGCATTGAAGGACCCGTGTGCAGTGGTAATGGCGAGTGGCCTGTTGGAACTAGCTGCCCCATGAAGGGTGACGTTGCTGTCGAGGACTGCCACGATATGCTGTCGAGCTACACCAACTCTAGCGCTTGTGTGGCACCCGAGAATGGTGTGTGTGCTAAGGTCGAGACTGGCGCCTGGGGCTGTGTGTTTGGGCTGGCTGACATGCCAACTCCTGCTCCGACCACGACAGAGATGGACGCGCCTACGCCCGCTCCGACCACAAAGGCTGATAAGCCAACTCCTGCCCCGACCACGACAGAGATGGACGCGCCGACGCCCGCTCCGACCACAAAGGCTGATAAGCCAACTCCTGCCCCGACCACGACAGAGATGGACGCGCCGACGCCTGCCCCGACCAGGACGAGGATGAATTCTGCTACGCCCGCTCCGGTCACGGCAGAGATGGACGTCCCTACGCCCGCCCTTTCCAGGAGCGCTGTTCCGTGGACTCCTGTTGAAGAGATTGAGCAGCCAACTCCTGCCCCGACCGCTGCTACCTCAACACCAGAGGCCGCTATTGCGACTCCTGTATCGACATCCACTTCTACGTGCGTTGAAGTGTCTGTGGAGGGCGACGCGACGTACTGCATTGAAGGACCCGTGTGCAGTGGTAATGGCGAGTGGCCTGTTGGAACTAGCTGCCCCATGAAGGGTGACGTTGCTGTCGAGGACTGCCACGATATGCTGTCGAGCTACACCAACTCTAGCGCTTGTGTGGCACCCGAGAATGGTGTGTGTGCTAAGGTCGAGACTGGCGCCTGGGGCTGTGTGTTTGGGCTGGCTGACATGCCAACTCCTGCTCCGACCACGACAGAGATGGACGCGCCTACGCCCGCTCCGACCACAAAGGCTGATAAGCCAACTCCTGCCCCGACCACGACAGAGATGGACGCGCCGACGCCCGCTCCGACCACAAAGGCTGATAAGCCAACTCCTGCCCCGACCACGACAAAGATGGACGCGCCGACGCCCGCTCCGACCACAAAGGCTGATAAGCCAACTCCTGCCCCGACCACGACAGAGATGGACGAGCCCACGCCTGCTCCGACCACGACAGAGATGGACGCGCCTACGCCTGCCCCGACCACGATGAGGGTGAAACCTTCTACGCCCTCTGCTTCATTGACGTCTGAAATCGGAAGCAAGCCTGAAGCCCATACGAGTGCTGAATCGGCGGCGTCGTTCAGCTACAACAATACTTACACCTCCGAGCAGCAGCAAACTCAGCAGCAGACGCAGCAGCAGACGCAGCTAAGTGCTTCTTCTCCGAACATCCAGACAGTAAGCACGCTGAGCGCCGCTCCGGCCACGCAGGATGCAAGCAGCGGCATCTCCGGTGGCGCGATTGTTGGTATTGTTGCCGCGGTGTGTGCGGTCGTTGCTCTGGCCGGTTTCGCTGCTATCCAGAAGCGCCAGCGTTCAATGAAGGGCGATGAAGACATGCCTTCCAGCGCGTACTACAGGCAGCCCGAGACTCCGCTGTCGCAATCGATCAAGCTGTAAGCAGACCACACCGCCTTGTACATGTGACAAAATGGCAGACTCTACAAGCGGAGTCCAAAGTATGTGGTGTGGGGACGGCGAGCGTGTTCGTGTCTCGGGTCAAGTCGCCCGAGGTGCTGCGAAGAACACCGTTCAATGAAGCATCACGTCTTTCTTACTACCTGGGTGTGTCGTTTTTTACTGTACTTTTGTCCACGTTGTGTATGATATGCGTTCATCACGAGGTGTCAGTGCGGCGCAGAGAACACAATTCGTGTTCAGACAGCCAGTCGACTCCAAGCACAGGTTGGATGCGTTGTGCAAGCACGTCGCCGGTGCTGCAAAAGGGAAGTGATGAGTACTCCGCAGCTGCTGAAGAATGTCAGCAAGTACGACAAGTGCAGCGAAGACGCTGGCGCCCGAAGGTCGATTGCCAAATGCAGACTTACTTCCCACTTTCCAGCTCAAAGGAGCTTCTTATGCACAAGGTCATTCAGCCGTGCACCAACGCGCAGTAGTATGTCGACGTTGCCAAGCGGTTGAAATCAAAAAGTGCCACGCATTCGCGCTATCGGTGGTTTCTACTTACACGGACGCACTACACGTCCTGTGGAGAGCTGTTCATTTGCAAACCCATGGATGACCAACGTTTGCTCGGGGTCAACTTCGGAATCGATTGCCGCGAAAGCCGATGGTTTGGCCCCTTAAAAGAAGGATCTTATATTTCAAGGCATGGGTTGACCACTACTCCTTGTGCTGGTACTAGACATAATTGCAGCAGGAGAACTGCTGTGGTCGACATCGCACTGTCTATTGTTGACTCGCGATAACCCACATGTACGCGTATTCTCCTGGCTTGATATGAAACCAATCGATGACTGCACGCATTTGCCTTTCGATCGCGCCGCAATGTGCGGTAGACGCGAGGCTTCGAGAGTGCCAAACGCCAGTGATTGTCTCGATATCGATACAATGTCGTCGAGTCCAGTTGCTTCCCATAACACGTTGGAGGAGACACTGCATCCATCAAGTTCAGCAGCGCATTAGTATGCGTAAACGAGGCGCTGCTGTCGTGTCGTGCACGCGTTGGACGCGATAATTTGTCAGAAGCGTTGCGATTGATGAATGATCGACAGGGGACAACGGATGCGCAGATGGTTATCATACATTCTGCATCGATACGTCAAGGGCAAACGATGATCGACAATTTGGATCAATATTACCCCTACAAACTTCTTGCACATAGGCGACCCAAGCAGCCAACATGTGCCCAAATTGCTTCACGAAACATCATCGCGACGGCGGTGCCGACACTGACGAACTCGACGACAAAAGTAGTAGCGCGTATGCGTCTGGCGCCGAAAAAGAGTGCCAACAACTATTGCAATGGCTGCCAAAGTACTCACTGCCTTCTGATTGCATACCTGTGCCGTGTGTGCTGTCAGTGGTCGAATTGATCTCAGCTGAAACTGCGGGCAGACTCTTAGCCAGCATGACACGAATCGCATGTCCAACAAATGAGCAAAAGCGACACCTCATGGCCGGCACTTGATAAAATAGTCCATCAACGCTCGTCGAAAGGCCAAGACGACGGTCTTCGCACCTGTCCAAACGCCAATTTATGCGAGACCTCTAGTGACCACAGCGCAGGCAGCTCGCGAGTGTTCGTCGGCAAGATGTCGACTACCGAACCGACACATACGTCCTCGACACTGCAACGATGTCAACGTCCTTTCAGACATCATGGAAACCCCTCTTTATTGTCCGAATACCGTGTCTAGACACTCAGCAAATGTACGCATCATACGATGAGCACCAGTCCAGGCAGCAAACATGCTGCAGTCATTCATGTAGAAACACCGACTTGCGTCTTATTGCATCGCACTGTTGGCTTTGCTTGCGAGGAACGGAGATCCGACACTACACGACGGTGTGGCTTGCGAAGCTGGGATACTAAAAAGCCTTCTGCACGTGCTCATGTATTCCTTCATACAAAGCGTGTCTTTTGCGGCGAGCTAAGACGGACAAACTGGTCATGATCATGCAGTGCAACGATAAAGCTCAATGCCGTGCTAAGCACAAATTCTCCGGTCGCGCACCTATTTATCTGACCGCCTCGCGAGTCCATTCAGTCGACATGGTTACTCTCGCTTCTGTTTCCACTCCTCGTAAAGCCTTCGCTTGGTGGTAGCTGCTGCAACAACGCCCTCGCATCATCGACAGCAGTGCTCTTTGCCGCCTCTGAAGCTCTCGCCTCTAAGAAATTGGACCTCATCTTACTGATCGCCTCCGCCTCTGTGTTTCTCGAGTACAACCGACAAAAGGACTGATGGACGACACTCGGGTACGACGACGGCAAAAAGTCCGACTCCCATGCAGAGTTTGCTGACTGATCCATGACAGGAATCGTCAGTCGCTGCTTCTCGGCCTCAATGTCTAGCGCAGCGTCCATGGTGAGCCCAACGCCAGTAGCTTCAATGGCCGCCAACTCGTTGCCACTGTCAGTGTGTCTGGTCTTGCGATAATGTACGACCATACCAAGCGCCGACAGCGTTGCAATTCCACCTACATATGCCCACCAAAGAGCAGGGATTGCGTACTCGAAGCCGCCGTTTGCATTCCGACTCGCGTACTTCTCCAAGTCGTTCGGGAGCGGAAAGCCACCGATGAAGTAGCCGAGACCCCACACAAAGACGGCAGCACCAGCGATAGTAGTCCCAGCGATCTCCACTGGCTGGCCGTATTTCAGGGCAAGCGAGGCAAACACCACCGCCAACGGCAGACACAGAAGCGTAAACAGCTCGAACGTCTGACCTGGACAGATGTACCCTGCTACAGAGTTGGTCACGAGCACTGCAAGCACTGTGCCTCCTGCAATGCCCGTGATAAAGCGGCTCTTCGGATACACCCACCGGGCCATGCCCCCACAGCCTGCGCCACCCCCGATGAAGGCCACCCAGAAGGCGAGACCCCGAACGGTCTGCTGGTCCACAAGCAAGTGGTCCATTGCCGTCGCAAGGCTGACAGCTCCCAGGGCAAAGCCAATGGCAAAGACAGTCTCCGCCATGAAGCGGTCGCTGAACCCGATGATCCCGGCACCAACTAAACTTGCCACGACGGCAACGACGCACGTGCCCAAGTCGGTGCCATCCGTCGACTCGAAGCTTGAGTCGTCTGCCGCGCGCACGCAGGACACGACGAGCAGTACAAAAGTCGCCGGGAGCATCTCTGAACGTGTCTGCGGGGTATGCATTTCGAGACGGCAACCAAAAAGTCGTTGTGCTGAGCGCTCCATCGAGCGATTCAGTGCCGCGTGCACCGGTTCGGGGCGCCATGCGGTCCGAGCTCGGGGACAATACATCACCACATGACACGACGAGGCGCAGGTGGTGAACTGTTGTAGATCGTCGACAGACTTTGCACAGTATTTATGATCGTAGCCCCCCTACCTGTGGCCTGCGTATACCTCTAGAGGTCTTTGCTAGCGCTGAGCTGACCATGTCACGCGGGGCCATTGAAGTGCAAGTCAAGACTTGCGCTCGCTAGCCGACTCGAGAACGACGAAAGGTCTACAGATGTAGCAGAGACGTTCGGTTGTGTACACGCGGTGGAAAATGTACATCCATCTCTATTGCAGCTACTGAAGGCACATCACGAGGGCAGCGAGGGGATCGAGTGCAAATGGTACTGTCGTTACTTGTGTTTATCGTTAGGGGCGAGATCGTTCAATCGACGTGCGTCAAACGTCACGGCACTCGCCTAGAGCTCCGTCCTGCTGTGCGCCTGGAGCGTCAATCAATCAATCAATCAGAGCACTGTGCATCGAGCAGGTTAGTTATACGTGGCTGGCCGGGTTGCCAAAGCGCACGCTTTGCGGCTGCGGGGAGCTCGCCTCGACGTAGTGCGCGCCCTCTGGGCGACGTTTGATGGCCCGTGCACTGTGGTGCGCAGCCCCGCGTCCAGTCTTGCGGAACTGGATAAACAGACCCAGCACGAAAAGCACGAGGATCGCAGCGAGGTAGGCCCACCACGCGTCTGGGATCGAGTAGACCCAGTCGCCGTTAACGTCCTGTGTGGCGTACTGCTTGAGGTCGTTGGCCGATGGGAAGTCGCCGGCAAAGTACCCCACGCCCCACACGAGAACGGCAGCGCCAAAGAGACTCGTGGCAGTGATCAGCACGGGCTTCTCGAGCTTGAGCGCCAGCGCGCCACACAAGAGACCGAGCACGACGCACAGCACAATGAGCACCACTTGCGGGTGGCTCGAGTAGATCCTGTGGCCCACCGAGTTGTGGATTAGCATTGCGAGGACGACGCCGCCGGCAGCGCCAGCGACAAAGATGCCGAGCGAGTAGAGCGCCATGACGAGGATGCCGCAGACGAGGCCGCCTGCGGCAAAAGCGACCCACGACGCCGTAATGACCCACGACTCACTGTCGAAAATGTGTTCAATGGCAATCGCGAGGCCAACGCCGCCGCAGATAAAGCCAATGGCAAAGAGCGTCGCGCGGAAGAAGCGGTAGCCGGCAGCGATCATGACCGCTCCGACGGCAATTGCAGCAATAGCCAACACGCTGCCGCCGATTTCAATGCCTTCTGCCGAGTCAAAGAGGGACTTGACCGTGTCACTGGCAGCGTCCGCCGCGTCAACGACCGCTGCGTGGAAGCTCAGCAGCAGCAACAGCAGCATCGACATGACGGGCGAAAAGCAAAGAGCAGTAGTCGATAGCATGTCGTCGAGAGGCGATGTGGAGGTGGGGGACGTGTGGCGGTGTTTGGGTTCAATCGTCGCGTCTCGTGACTTCCACTTGTGCAGTAGTGGGTCAATTGCGGACTGAAGAGGGCGGGCGATCGTTGCGGGCTCGAGGCGACTTGTGGTCGGGTGGGTGTGTCCAACAGCGGCGCTCGGTCTCAGCAGAGTGCCCACAATAGACGGGCCAGCGAGCGCTAAGCCAAGTGGATTTTCGCGCTTATGTACGTATGTCGGCCACCTGGTCGGCGGGAGCATCAGCGCCCGTTCTTTGCAGCTGTACTGGATTTTGATGTGGAACAGTAGCGGTCAAGGCACAGTGTTTTTTTTGCTCGGTAGACCGCACACGACAGTTTGCTCTTACGCTACAGTTTGGTAGTACGCTACAGTTTGGGATCACACCACGTGACCTCGCGCGGGCGATGCCGGCCCGCCCGCCGCCCGCCTTATATTTTCGGACTTGACGGTCCCATCTTTCTGAAGCAACGCAACGTGGCCACGAGCAACACGCGTCGCAGCTTGCAGATGCGATTGATTTTGTAGCTCCTCCTGGATGCTCGACGAAAAGAGTCAGCGCGATCCAATCAAAGCGCGTGTCCATTGTGCGTGTCAAACGCGGGACAGAGGACGGCACTGCCGTTCTATGCCCCCCATGGGCTGTTGCTACCTGATTCGAAAAAAGCCACAAGCTGCGAAAACAAACGGCAACACGACCGGTAATGCAAATGAAACGTTGTAAACGACTTGTCTAACGTAAGTACAAAGGCACGCGCGCTCGACCTCCTCACACGGATCCTTCAAACTTGCCTTCCTCCTCGCCATCGTCCTCTTCTGTCCCATCCGCCTTCACGAGCACACCTTCCTCCGTACGCGCATCTTCGTCCTCTGACGCATCTTCGTCAGCACTTGTTTCGGACGCCATGGCCACAGAAGCCTCATCTTCGCTTGCTGCACTGACTGTGTCGCGGTTCCGAGTAGAGCGAGCTACGAACGCGAACGCCATGGCAATGATACCCACAAACACGCCGACGCCTGCGCCAATCTCGGTGAAGTAGGTAGACGTCTCGGCATTGGCCTGGCTCGCAGGATCGCTGGCAAGAGCGACGCTCTCGTCGCTCAACTGCTCTTGCTTTACGCTCGTCGCGTCATCATCCAGCGAGCCCGAGCAAGAGCTTGATGTGTTGCCATCGGCGCCGCTCATCGAGTCATTGTCCAGCGATCCCGGGTAAGAACTTGATGTGTTGCCATCGGCGCCGCTCATCGAGTCACTGTCCAGCGATCCCGAGCAAGAGCTCGACGTGTTGCCATCGGCGGCGCTCATCGCGTCTTCGATCGCGTCCTGTGTTGCATTCTTGACGCTGCTGATAGCGTCAGCTGTGGCGTTCATGACGTTGCTTGTAACATTTTGGACTTGTTCGTGCACGTCTATCGTTTCGTTCTTTGCACCTTCGTGTGCATCACCTGCACCGCTCCTATCCTTCCCACCTTCCTTCTCATCCGCATCCTCATCAGAGTCCGACGCGTGCGGCTCGTCACCTTCATTTGCTTCGTCCGCGTCTCCCGACTCAGCATTCAAGCCAGAATCAGACGACGAGTGCGTGCCCTCCAAAATGCCCTTCGTAGTGTTGTACACGTCTGTTGTAGCGTTTTTCACATGCTCGTAAGTGTCCTGTGTGACATTAACCGCCGCCTCGATGAGCGCAGTCACGTTCCCCTTGTCCTGCTTTCGATCCGACCCCCCACTCTCATCGCCCTCGTCCAAACCCTCGCTTCCTTTACCTTCGTGTTCATTTGCATGGTCCCCACCGGAGGAACCACCGGTCCCCTCCTCCACTTCCTCTTCTTCCTCTTCCTCCTCCTCTTCTTCTTCTTCCTCTTTCTTGCTACTTGCAGCATCCACAGGAACACCAACAGAGCCCGACGTCGACTCGTTCTTTTTGACACCAGCTTCTGTCGAGTTCTCAAACGATTCAGAACCTGACCCGTTCACAACAACGACTTTTTCGCCGTCATTTGACCCATGTGCAGACGGTGCAGCAATGCCAGTCAGGTTCCCATTTGTACTGTTCGTCTTGTGTTCCTGCGTCTGCTCCGCATCATCTTCCTCCTCTTCGTCAGAATACGACTTTGATGTCGAAAGAGACACCAAGTCGGACGCCCCAGATGCCGAAGCAGACGCTGAGAAAGACCCTGCATCCAAAGATGACTCAGATCCCGATCCAGACGTCGAACACGGCACTGAACCGGACCCCGAACCAGATCCCGACCGAGCCACCGAGTGAGAGCCTGATCCAGATGCCGACTGAGCCGCCGAGTGAGAGCCTGACTTGGATGCCGACGGAGCTACCGAATGAGACCCTGACCCAGATGCCGAACACGGCGCTGAACCGGACCCCGAACCAGATCCCGACCGAGCCGCCGAGTGAGAGCCTGATCCAGATGCCGACCGAGCCGCCGACCGAGAACCTGACTTGGATGCCGACGGAGCTACCAAATGAGACCCTGACCCAGATGTCGAGCATGGCGCTGAACCGGACCCCGAATCAGATCCCGACCGGGCCGCCGAGTGAGAACCTGACCCAGATGCCGACTGAGCCGCCGACCGAGAACCTGACTTGGATGCCGACGGAGCTACCAAATGAGACCCTGACCCAGATGTCGAACACGGCGCTGAACCGGACCCTGACCCCGATGTCGAACGCGACGTCGAGTTGGACCCTGAACCGGATTTCGAGCTAGAAGCGGCTCCAGCTGTCGCGTGAGAACCCGATGCAGACGCCCCATGAGACGCCGACTCGTCTTCCTCACTCTCCTCCTCCTCTTCCTCCTCTTCCTCCTCCTCTTCCTCCTCCTCTTCCTCTTCCTCCTCCTCCTCCTTACTACCGGTCAAACTATTGTGCTTCGATCCTTTCGGGTCTTCGCTTTGCGACCCATTGCGGCCGACCGACTCGTTTGCTGTGACGTTCACGTCACCCAAACTGCCGCTACTGCTGTTGGCCCACTCAGTCGGCTTCAACGACGGCGCCAATGTCTTCTCCGTCTCCTGTTCGACCTCTGGTTCTCCTTCTTGTTCGCTGAGCTGCTCGTTCCGACGTGCGATGTGGTCGCGCGATGCCGCGGCCACGACCGACAGCGCTGCTACCAATAGGCACAAAGAGCGGCGACGCGTCATGTGGTGTGGTGACGTTGACGATGGAAATCGGTAATTGAGAAGAGGGTTCAGACCAGACAGACAGCTCGTGGAGTACCGATGGACGGGCGTAATTTGCTGACAACCGGTACGCGCTGTGGTAATCCAGCCATTGCTGCGAGTTTAAAAAATAAACGCGTGGGTTGTCGTGTTGTACTGTATAAGATGTACGAGGTACGCGTGGCTTCCGATCAGACAGCATTCCGCCGGTCGAGCAAATACACGGTACGCGTAACATTCCATGCGTACAAAGATAGGTTACACGCGTTGGATTCTGTGCGTACAAATATGTGGACCACCGATTCATACCGCGCGGCCGCGACTGATACTGGAGGAGTAGTTGACTTGAACCAAGGAAGGCATTCTCGTGGCCGAAAAAATAAGAGTCAGCACGTGTTAGCGACAATTGCGACGTCTATTGATATTGATCCAGTCGCTGCCAGCCCATTCGCTACGACGCCCTGTCAAATGTAGTGTAGGGGTCACCAACAAAGCCTCAGAGCATCAGCAACAAGACAGCTGCCGCCGTCTCTCCCCATATATTGTGCAAAGTGGCCGTCCATTCGCATGTGCACACTTGTGTACATTTCATGTGCACGCCCGTTCGCACTTGCCGAGGTTTTTTGGACCCCTACATGTGACAAGAGGTTTTTCTCGCCAGCCGCTCATCGGGGCCATCCCAACCCATCGATCGCGGCACAAGCAGAAAGAAGCCCAAGACACACTACAGTCCATCGAGCCCAATGCCGCCGAGTGTGAACCTCGTCAAGCACTGGTCCAAGTTCGGCCCCGAGTTTGGCCGCACCTCGCGCCACTTGTCGCCGTACGAAGTGCACCCGGTGCGTAGCATCATCACGACAATGCCGTACAAGACGGTCCGCAAGATCAAAGAGAACGGGGCAGTGCTCATCCCTGCGATGCTTCTGCTCGTGGGGACCGTCAAGTGGGGGATCAAAGCCAACGACGAGGAGCACCGCACGCACTGGAGCTAAGTGCTTGACGGTGGCGACCACCTACAGGGCTTCACGCCTCTCTGTCTGCTGGTCAGTAGGTTGACTGGGCCGCTTTCAAGACGCAGACAACGAACAAGTACAGGAACATGTGACCGGAAGAGGAGGACGTCGTTGTCTGTCTACGAGCACGAGGGCAAGCAGCAAGTGACGTCGAGCGGGGCTGGAAGGGGATTCGTCGGTCGATCGTACGCTACAGTAGCGTCGTACGAACAGCAGATAGTGGAGCAGGTTGTGTCCGATGTAGGGGTGGGGGGGTCGGCCGATAAGTACGCAAAACGAAAAGCACGCCTATGTTGCTGGTGGTGGTGGTGGTCGAAGTGGGTGTGGTCATGGTGTGTCCGTTTGTCAGGTGCACCACCTTAAGTCGCTCGCTTCTTCACGTCGACGTGTCCTTTTCTCGCGCCCACGCTGCGGAAAGAGCAGAGAAAGAGCGAGTGGACCTCTCCAGACTGGGCCGCTGCCGCCATCATCGCAGCAGCAGCAGCAGCAGCAGTCAGTCCACACCCGCACCTGTCAGTCAGTCTGCCTGTCTATCAATCTGTCACTCGCTCTTCTCCACTGCCATGCAGGCGACAAACGCGACCGCGCCGCCGCTCCCTTTCCGCGAACTTGCGCCGCCGTCCCGAAGCCACAAACACGTGCCCAGCGTCGCGCGCCCCACGCCGCAGGCCACGCGCAGACCATCGACAAAGGCGCTGATTCTGCAGCAGAAACAGCACCAGGAAGAGCAGCAAGTGACGCTGTCGCGAGCCGAGACGGCCGACGACGCGCTCTTGAGGCAGTCGGTGACGGAAAGCGTTCCGCCGCTGACACGGGAAGAAGAGACAGCAGCGCTTCGGGAGCGGTCGAACTCGCTGGCCGTGCTGGAGTCCATGCGCTCGCACTTGCCGGGCAACGGGCACGTGATGAGCGTCAAAGCCACTGGCAAGTTGAAGAAAGAGATGCGAAAGGCAGCGCGCGTGGTGGAGACGATTTTGTCGCCAAAGCTGCTGAAGGACCAGTCGATTCCGCACGAGCTCCTGGCGGAAGCGTACGGGTTGGTGTTTATCACCATGTACAAGCTGGGCTTCCTCTTGTCGGGCAAGGTCGGGACAGGCTTTGTCATCTCGCGCACGACAGGAGGATGGTCGGCGCCAAGTTTTGTATCGTCGGGAGGTCTGGGGTTTGGCATGATGGCCGGCGGGGAAGTTGTCAACTACATGATCATTTTGAACTCGAGGAATGCAGTCAAAGTGTTTACTCGAAATGGACAAGTCCAGCTGGGATCGGAGCTCGATATTGCAGTTGGACCCATTGGCCGAGCTGCGAGTGCTGCATTAAACGTGGGGCCAGGTGGAGTTGCGCCGAATTACTCGTACAGCCACAGCAAAGGACTTTATGGCGGTATCGGTCTCTGTGGCGGTGTCATTTGCACGCGCAAGTCACTGAACGCGAAGTGCTATGGCCCGAACATCACTGCGCGGCAGCTCTTGTGCGGCGAGGTCGCGTGCCCGCTAGCTGAGCCGCTCTGGAGAGTGCTGGACAAGGCGCTGAGCATGCAGCGCGAGTACGTGAACGGCTTTCCTGTGCTTGCACCCACGTACACGGGGATGGCTTGCGACGCGTGTGGTCATGTGCATTCGTTCGGGCGTAACCCCAATGCCTGCGCCAACTGCGGCAACTTGCTGGTCTACAGCGTCAGTGTGCACTCTGGACGGCGGAACACGAGCCAGCTGATTGCATCGGCTTCGATGCATTCAGTTGCTTGAGCCGCCGTGGCTGTGGCTGTTTTGCAGGTGAAGCCAATGGTCGTGCTCGCCGATACCTCTCGTGTCCGCGTGCATTGTGGCTGCTAAGGTGAACGTTGTTATTGTATACATAGTAGGCGGTACTTGAATAAAGTGCGTGAGTGAACAGAGCCATTTGTTGATGCTTTCCACGATAAAATCCAGCTGCTGGGCATATGGATAACGCAGGGGGTACAGAGAGGACGCATGAATACCGGTATTCTACCGATAGCTACCACAGGTAGCAGTCTGGCCATGGCGTCCCACAGCACGAGGTGCCCGACGCTGGCGCCGCGCGTGACTGACCTCTACGGCGCCTGTGGCAGCGTTTACCGCGTAGGAGAGGCAGAAGCTTATGCTCAAGCTCTGGACGACCTCGAACGTGAGGAAAGAGCGCTGGAAAACATGGTACAGGAGCTGGTGCATCGTCGAGCACCGGTGCCGATCGGCGTGAAGTTCCACCGCGAGCGCGTTGGCGTTACTTTACAGCAAGAAGTAGCAGCAAGGGTGAAAGGCGTGCAAGAGAGCGAAGTGTCTTCTCGAGGTCGAGAGGTTTCGTCTGTGGGGTCGAGCTCTTCTGATGAAGAAGAAGACGGAGAAGACGAAGACGGAGAAGATGTGGACAACGACGATGACGAGCTGATGGACGATGAGGATGAGCGAGGAGAGGGCGACACGTCAACGAGAGCGACAATTGTTCGAGGTGAAGGGCCGCAACGTGGCGGGTACTTGTTTGCACGCGATTCGTTCGAGGCGGGCGACGACTCGATGGAGATGGAGGAGCCGTTGCGTCCAAGTGATTGGCCCTAAAAATGACTGCAGTGAAGGCGAGGCTTGTACGAGTTTTGCGACAAAGTCGGGTGTCGGTTACTCGATGGCATATCTGTTTGACATGATAAACTAAATGTAGCGATGTGTCAGCTTGCGCACAAATGGAGGGTGGGAAGAAGCAGAGGGACCAATGACTTGGGCGAGTATCGAGTCGGCAGGAGTCGAGTGGGGACCAGCTTTTGGACCGAGATGAGGACGACTACCTGCTGCCGCTTCGATCCGGCTGCTTTTGTCAGCGCTGTTCACATAGCAAGAAAACGACGATCACAACAATCACTGCAGCTGTCTTGGAAACGTGGACGATACGGACGGGGCAGTGAACGCGCATGCGTTTGTGTGGTATCGGCTGCCGAGGTCCTTGACACAGCCTGTGTGGAGGAAAGCTTGTTGGAGTTATGGGTGCAGCAGAGTTGGCAGTAGTCAAAGGTGTATTCACCTTGATTCGAGCTACAGGAGGATATCTGCTTAGCTGCATTACTGTACAATTGCTCACGATTATCGCTGCTGTCACTAACGATATACACTCATTCAACCGATTTCGATCACCACTTTACCGCCATTGGGACGAACGGTAGGCGTGTCGACGTCCCCTTCGTCCGACACCGACGCTGCTTCACATTACAACTGCTGTCTTGCGCCTCTGGCTTGTTATCTGCTGCGTTTCTCAAGCAAGAAGCAAGTCACACCTTTTTATTGTGGGAACTGAAGACCATATATTGCGAGTCATCATGGGGCCTACTCAAAAAAGACAGCGGCTCAGCAAATGCCTCACGCCAGGTGCTACAGATATAGTATAGCAGCAGGCAGGCAAGCAAGCAAGCCAAGGTGATGGCATTGCGTTTGCAAGTAGATTACACGGTGCAGCGTTGTGCGAGTGAAACGTCCACAACTGCACGGTGTATCCAAGTGGCAATGTCTGTGCACGAGAAGGAAATACAGGAAACGCAGTAGCCACCTGCTACATATGGATGCTATAGCACATGTATTGCTCTATCGACTCAGCAAGTCAGTTCCGATCGACGCGCTTCAATCGGCACGTAACATGGCTGACATCATGAACAACATCGAATGTCGTGCGTCTTCTTCTGACGGAAACGTTAGGATAAATGGGGCGAAACCCGACCTTGTGTGAAGACAGCCCTAAACGTTATTTTTTGCTCTTTGTTACGTGTGTGGTTAGTCAAAGTGTATTCAACGGTACTCTTACGAAGCGATGAAAAAGACAAGTGTACCACTAACTCCACTGACTTTGCTGCTAGAGTGGGCAGCGCTCAGCTCTACGTTCTGCAAGCCAAACTCTAGCTTCAGCCACGCTCCAGTCATTCGTTGGTCCCATGTTTCGGCGTCTTCTCATCCGCTCTCAGACCAAACGTGAAGCCAGGATACTTAGTAAACACACTAAGCAGCTCTGTTTCTTTGTCCTTGCTGTAGTCGTGTTTAGCTTTTCGGTAGCTCTCGATGTATCGCTGCAACGGTTTGACAACGTGGTTATCTATTCTCACCATACGCTTACGTTCGAACGGCAGAGTGACATCAGGAGCTTTGTAGCGAAAGCCGGACGTCAAAATCTTGAAAACATCTTCCGGGGCCAAGGCATCACCACCCGCAGTCCATAGACGAAACAGTTTTTCGTTCTCAAGTAGGTCTGGATTCTTGTAAGCCAGAATCCCTTGCAAGCGATCAGCGTGCTCCATCATGTCAGGAGCTTTTCGAAGCGAATGAAAAGCTTCTGCCAATTCTTCAGGCTGAAAAGGGACAAGGCCCTTGTTGATCTTCGACTTAGTCAGAACCTCGACCACCTTGCCATAGTTCCAATGGGTAGTGTCCAGAGGTCGATATACGCCACCTAGCAGCACCGCAAACTCCTCTAGGTTGGCGACCTTCCCGTTGTTGATGAGCCCCTCCTCTTCCACGCGCTGGCCGACACTTTCCATGAGCTTTTCAGTCGTGGAGCGGCCGAACAACGTGGCGAGAGCTTCACTTGGCGACGACAGGGTCCTCTCCTCGTCAAGCTGGTCTTCTTGCTTGATCTTGGAAATGACATGCCCGTGTAGTCTCCCAGGCGATGATGCGACGAACAGGGTTCCGTTCGTGTGAGCGGACGTAGAGGATGTAGCGCGCGTAGCAACGTTAGACGGATCACCTCCGGTGGTTGTTGATCCAGCGATTCCTGCAACAAACCCCGCCGAAATCGTGAGCACACAATTGAGCAAGCGCATGATGATACGCACTGGTTGCCAGGCAAATTGTAGAATGAGAGACCCACGTTGCGATATGTATTTGGCTGCTAATTTCTAGAGACACAAGCGAATCGTTCCTGTCGGGTTCTCCTTTTTCTACTAGGTCTGATCCGCACTTCCTCTGGGCTATCGAATGAACAGAACAGGATAGCCGAATCACGGAGAGCAAGTCTGGCTTCGTCATGATCAGCTTCGATCGCGATAATCCAATGCTCACTTCCTTCTCACACGTTACATGATTATGGTCAATTAACGACCAGAGGCAAAAAAGCCGGTACCGTGATGGCCCACGCGATGTGCGGATCCGACTTTGCATACGGAAGGTACAAGTGGCGAGAACAAACACATCGGAGGTACCCATGTCGGGGAAAGGGACGGCTGTGCCTTGCCCCCTCAGATCAGAGCCACCATCTAAGCTGATGATGGCAAGCAAGACAGACAGCACAAAAGCAGCAAGACAGACAGCCCAAATGCTCGAGATGTGGAGTGGGCAGAGGCCTGTAAACGCAACCATGCTTAGTTGAAATGGAGTAGAAGAGTGCTGCAAAAGTCGCCGCTTGTACGAGGAGAGCCAACTTAGCTCAACACATTTGCTTATCGTCTATCTCTGTGCAACAGGAAACGAACAAGTTCTGATGCAATATCTCACTGAAGCCGGCTGCTCTCTTTTCCCGGCGAAGGGCAGGTAGAACCAGTGGAGGCGGCGAGCGTCGCACAGAAGCCGGCAATTTTGTAGCAACCGCGGGCGCGAAGGGCTCTGTATGAAGTGATGGTGCGAACTTAGCGGATGCCGCCCATGTCTTGCACAAGCACCTGCTTGCTTTGCTATCGATCACCCTTTTGATTCCTCTGACAACTTTGACTTTCTGACATCCGTATGAAATCATTGACAGTGAGCGAAAGGCGCTTCAGCAAAAGTTACGCGCCCCGTTCATGCGCCAGAAAGAAGCACATAAGAATCGTCACGCTCTGTATATCACCCAAGCTCTAACATGGCAGATACGCCTGTGGGTGTGCATGGTGCTACATCTCATGATCTAAAAGGTAGACAGATTATCTAGCACGCGCAACAGAACGAGTGCAAGCCTGTGCTGGGTGAGACACGGTCGCTCGATTGACAAAGTGGCGAAGTATGTCTGCCTACACGAAATCCAGAGTCTGGTGTCGGCGTCAACACCTAATGGATCAAAACGGGCGCGACGTCTACTGGGCCAGCGGTATCAAATGCAGTTATAATAAATAGACTAGGCGGCGAAAGGAGTCCCAACAAGTCCGGTCTTAATGTCAGACACGGTCGAAACAATTTACTAGAACACATATCTGGCAGAAGAGCTTTTCAATAAACCATTTACATTCCTGCTTCAGAAGGCAGACGACGATTCGCTGACCACTTTTGGAAGTATTGTCTGCTGTCTTCGAACCGTTTGACAATCAAGTAGACTTTACAGGGTTCTGGAATTCGATCGTCCCTTTTTCGCAAAAAGAATCAAATGAGCAGAACATCTGGGCTTACCTGATTTTTACGATTGCATAAATCACCACTACCCAGAGCCTCGACTCGAATGCGTTGTTCCCAATAGCTTCAGTAAATGGTCAAGCAACAACGACTCTTCCACGCATATTTACTACAGTGCTCACCGTATTTAGTGTCCGGTCAGAACCAGTGTCGCACCGCAATTAGTGTCCTGGACACTAATTCACGTGTGAATCACACTCGCGAAAACTCAAAATAGCGACACCCAAAAATTCGTGTCCTAAAACCATGGTTGGCAAACTTGAGATTCAAAGCACAATGAGCGAGCTATCGTGTGGCGGCTGCCACGAGGACGTCGGCCCTGTGCACGCATGCTCGATATGTTCGGCATATATGCATCGTTGGCGTGGAATGCCACAAGGCGACGAAGGGTTTGGCCAGCCTGTTCTGTGTCCATCCTGCGAGCAGCTCCAGACTGCAGCGGTTATTGACTATGCCTCTCCAATGATCGCGGCTTTCGGTACAGCTTGCTACGACTAAAATAACGTCGCCCATCAACAGGTCGCTGATGTTGCAGAAGGCAGCGACTGCGACAGTGCGTCTAGCCACGATGCGAAGAGTGACCGCTTAGCCGCTCCAAAGTGTCAAAAGGAGCGCCAATCTGTAAGTACGATTCACAACAGACGGCGCGCTGTGCGCTGGATGGAATCCAAGTTCGCCGACGGCGCCAAAACACTGTTTGCAACCACTGTGGATGCTTTTACCGATGTATTTAACTCGTCATCGCGCCAGTCTGATTTGAGAAAGGCCGTTAGGTGGTGGAAGGCGCGCGAGATTTTGCTGAGTTCGCCTCGAGGATCTATAACGGTGTCAAAAGTGATGCAGAACGGCCGTCAGCTTATCATATCCAAGGCTCTGAGCGGATGTGGTAGAAAGTGGAGTCACTGGGTGACGTGGATGTACCCACGTGTCCGATCTGAGTTTGTCGACTGCGCAAGGCCGGGCTCCAGTTTGATTCACCTCTTCTGCGCCAAGTTGCAGTCCAAGTTTTGATCGAGTCAAAAGAAATGTACACTGAGCACAGTCCAGTTGAAAACGGTGTTTTGCTCAAGGACAAAATAACGCCACGGTGGATCCAGACATTTATGGAGAATAACCCGGATTGTGCTTCGTGCCCATACCGGCAAGAAACAAATGTCGCCTGAGGAAACACGCGAGATTCGAGCTGCAGTCGCTAAGCACCTCGGTGAGCTAAAACGTGGTTTTGAGAGTGGTGATCGAAACGAAGATTGCATCGAAAACATCGACGAAACACACTTTGTTATCGATTTTGACACGGGCAGAACTTTTGGCTTTGATGGGGAAATGTCAATCAAGTAGGCTGAAGTCGTGTCCGGAGGAGAAGGGATGACAATGGTTGTTCTCCTTAGTGGAGGTCCATCAGCTCGTGTGCGTCCGCCCATGATGATTTCATCACGAACACCAGCGCATCGAATCCAATCCAAGGGGTTCCGGACAACATTGGTGGCGTCTGCTATCGGAAAGGACCATAAGGATGAATGGATCAGCGAGTTTTTAGCAATTATTTGACTGAAAGGAAATCAATTCTTGCGGATATCAAGGGGCGAAAAAAGTTGTTTATCTCGACAACTGTGGTGGCCACCTGAAGAACGAGCAGTGCGTAGAGGAACTGGCCAGTTCAAACGCAAGACTCAGCTTTTTATTAGAGAACTCGACCAATTTATACGAACCAGCAGACTCTTTCGTCATCGCCAAACTGAAGGATATTCAGTCGCGAAAGTGGAACGCCAAGAAATTTGAGTTGATCGACAAAAACGAGTTGCAAGACAAGATTCGCAGTGATGGAAACTGGTCAGGAAGCTCAATAATCCGGGTAAGTCATATTTTTTAACTGGCGGCTGGGGTTGTACAGGAATTCAACACGAAGCGCGACAAAAACGAAATTTCTTACACCCGCAAGGCCATGATTCGCTGCATGATGTCGCTTGACGTGGACGAAAAGTGGCGTATTGAGCAATTGACACCCCAACTCCAAGAAATTGAGCAGGAATTTCGTGCGGAATTCCAAAACACACAATAATTTCAGTGCATTGGCAATTTCTTGGATTCTCCAAAATATCATTGGCCTATTAAGGATTATCAATTTCTCCATACAACAATGTTGGTCAAATCCGAATTAAGTATGTCAAAATGGTGATTCTGAATGAAATACAACAAAAACAATTTCATTGTCGCACCACTGCAGAGCAAATCATACACATCCATATGCTCGGCCTTCACCCCTGACTACACTGTAGGTCGCTCGCGTTTCGCAAACTTAACTACGTGCCCACAACAGTTTGTGGATGTACCCTCGGCTTAATATCCGCCAATTTGGGTTTAGTATATTGTACTTGGTCCCCACTTCGATGCACAATGCGCAGACAGTAATTCTGAATTTGCTTCAAAACGTGTCATGGACACTAATTTTACCGCACACAAATTAGTGTCACACCATAATTAGTGTCATGGACACTATATCCTGTGTTTAGACTCGAAGGGTACTACGCATGAATCAGTGTCGCGGACACTAAATACGATGTCTACTGTAGCATGTATTGATTGAGACATATTCTTCACCCGTTACAAACGAAACGGAAAGCGTGTGTTGTACATTCCGGATGTATAGCATATCATTGTGCCATTACTATCCATACCCAGAGCACATTCTTAAAAATACTTTGATTTGTATGCAAAATGTGCCAACAAGGCCTGAGGATAAAATGTAAGCCATCAATTTGAATCTGAGAGGTAAAATTAAAACTCTTTAACACATCATTATTGGCGACTTTTAATCTCTTCATCGGGGTCGGAGCCATTTCCGTTTGATCAAATACGTTATCAAGCACCTGTACATTCCGTCATTCTCTTGTTAATTATGGATGATTTTAAAGACACAATCGAATGATTGTTAACAATTGATGACCCGCGGCTAAGCGGTAGGCAGATCAATTTTGTGTATTTACTACTTATGCGTGACCTTATTACGCTACATGACACAGGACGTATCGCCTAATTTTTGATCAATCGTTAGAGCTTTTACCATGACCATCGACACACCGCACCGACAGGTATTATAAATGTATCATGAAATAGGCATAGGTCTCATCCTAACGATCATGCGGTAATTTGGTGTACCACTTAAGATTCTATTTTTTCATCTGATCTTCAAAACCGGGCGAAATACGCGCATCGAATGATCACAAATGTTTAATTTCTTCTTCGCAAAAATATTGCTCATAGAAATCGGGGACGTGCTTGTCTTCTTCTATGTACTCGTAGATATGCTTACCGAAGCCTATGTATATCTTGCGTAAACATGTGGATTTTTCGATTTGGAAAGCGTATTTTACCTGTATTCAAGTAGTGGGGAGAAATGACTTAGACCAAGCGCTCTAGATTTTTGCTTTCTTTCGTCATTTATAAGACGTACAACGTATAGGTTTGTCCCGTGAAGCTACAATATTTATATTTGATAAACATCCTTCTGTTGCAGCTTAGCAGACGTAGAGTGAGCACATTTAAAAATGCTTATAGAACGATTCTCTCGTTAAAAAAGATCTGTTTGCTTCGCTACTATTTGGCAGCAAAATTCCCAATGGTATATCCTGACTTTAGAAAATTGTATATGCCCTGTTATCCTGTTTATCAAAGTGCTGTGTGAATATATTATATGATATTAATAAAATCTAAACACCAGCTTCACAATTTTAGTGTTTTCTTATTACATTTCTTGAGCGGTTTAAGTATCGGAAAACCCAAAGTGATCCTTCCGCATCACTTGCATATCATTCACAAGCTTACGATCTCTACAAGGTGTTGATTCGAAGAGATCTGATGAAGAAGGGACAGGTATCTCCACGAACCGTTGCGGTCATCTGATCCATGGCTCGTAACCCATAATGTATGGTAGACCGAGGATGACATCAAATTTTGTCATCCAAAATCCATTGCAATGAGATCAGCATCGTACTGTTCATCTAAGGAAGTGTAACAAACTCTCCCTTTTTTCTTCACTGCTACGGATGCGTACAAAGCAAGGCGCACCGTCATCCGCGTTTGACGGGTCTAGCGCTCAACAATCTTGGTCTACGATCCTCTAGTGAATGTCTTTTAACAGCATTACGCGACGTCCACAGTCCAGTGTGACACAAAGTGGCATGGCTTTTGTCATTTCGATCTATGCCTGGTGAAAGACACCTTATGATAAGAGACAGTGACACTCAGTAAATGTTTGCCGGAGCAACTTTGTTCATAAGGCATCTGAATTTTTGACGTTGCTGTTATCAACAAGGCGCTCTGTCCCAATCATCCCCAATACGGCGCAATGACCGCTTTACGTATGTTATCTTTGCTCCTATAGTTTTGAAACAGCGTCGGATACGCACCTCGAGCCCTACTTTGCAATAATTTTATCGCTTCGCTTTATGTTTTTGAAGCATGTCAGTGAGGATGAAAATGAAGAAGCCACATGTTTAAACCTACATTATGAATCGTAACGTTACAATTGATGAGAAACACTATAGCGAGGACTGTCGATCCAAATATATCCGAGAACAATGACATTTAGACGACCTCTATCCGTTGTGTCGATTTTCTATAAATGCCTAGTTTAAGAGCCCGATATGATATATTGGTCTTATGCTCTGCCATATATATATTAATGGTTTGATCTTGCGCATTCTACTACAGACAAAGAACTGTGGTGAAGTCGATCTCACAAAATTACTTTAGTGAGTGTCAATCTTCCACTTGCCCAGACTTGCCGACTCACGGAGGGGGTACTCCGATCCGTGCCTTGCTGTATAACCTTGTGCTCACCTTGTGTACCCGTCGGTTGGGCTGGCTTGAGCTCTTCGTAACGGCCTTGGGAGATGTCGATCTCGCTGAGAGGTTGGGTTGAGCGTTCGCTTCCGGTGCGGAAATCTTCACACCACGAACGGGGTTCTGCGATCTTGATCTTGAGTCGCGGCAGTCACTCTTGGGCGATGTCGCGATCTCGATCTTGAATCACACCGATCTCGATTTGTCTTCGGGATCGGGGTCTTCGCTGTGCGGAAATCTTCACTCAGCAAATAATTGTCTTGCGTCGATCTTGCGTTGGGATTGGTCCGATCTGGTCTCGAGATCGGCCAATCTTGCCGGAAGTGCGCAATGTGGGTGGATCGGTTGCTTGTTTCGCCAAAATGAAACGTGCCGATCTGCCCTGTAGATCGCTTCGGTCTTGCTCGGTCTTGTCTTGAACTACTTATCCAGATCTTCTGACCACTTGAGCTGCCTCGCGATCTTGTAACCAAAATCCTTTTCCTTTACCGTTGTTTGCTGCTACCCTAGCAGTTTGAGTTGAGTTGAGTTACCTTAACCCCACCTTGGCCAAACAATCCAAGGTGAGTACACGAAACACGGCGCGTGCAACGTCTCTTGATCGACGGGAGGCCAAATATCCTGCCCGGAAGAGAAGTCTGCGACGTGCTTTATATGTAAAAACGGTAACTGTTTTATTATCCAACCAAATTAATAGCCATCCTATCCTTAAGCATATTCCAAACTGTAGGTCACTCTCCAAACCGATATCACCTTTAAGCTTGACCGCCCCCTTGAACACGTGTCGAAATCTCGTGACCTGTGCTCAAAGATAGCGCCAATACTCCCGATATCGTACCTAGACACCAAAAAGGGAGCAAATTCGAAATACGGTACCAAATACCCAATTTCGGTACCGAAAAGACCAAAATAGTATCCAAATGCCGAATGTGTCTAAATCCATTTTGCGACGTCAATTCAACCGGCTTCCACTGGCTCTTTCGGTCTGAACTTTTGCGACATCACTCGCGGACCTTCAACAAGCATGTATATCACAATCCAATAGCTCCATCATCGATATATCCATAATCAGCAGGGAACATGACCGATCTGATGCCCAATTCGAGATCGTTGAGGATCGACACAGTGCGATCCGGCCCTATATGTTCTTCCGTTCGTTGTACATGGTC